AAGGGGGTTGGAGGTGGAGGCCACCCAGCAGCTCCATCACCCAGGAGAGCTGATTTATTTTTTTTGCGTGTCCTCTATGACCGCTGATTTCTCCTGTAACCAAGCAATCACATCTCTTCAGGGGAAGGGAGATGAAAGGATGGGTGGCTGCGGTAGTTGCCTCTTGGGCAGCACATGGAGAGGGCTGTGAAACACAAGCCCCTCTGTCCACCTGACCCAGCCGGGCAGGACAGTGATGCTGGGGCCAGTGCCCCACCGGCATCCTCAGGCTCCCACGGTGGGCTTTTCCCCAGCCCCTCTGGCTTTCACTGATGCGGGAAGCTCAAGCATATGCTGCTGCTGCAGCAAGCAGAAAATCAGCTGAGAGTCTGCTGTGCCCTGATCAGCCGGTCACGGCTCTAAACAAGATGCAAGAGCCTTGGGGCTACTTGACTGTCATTAAAATGGTGTGGATGGAAGGAAAAGTCTAATTGACTGAACAACAGCCTGCACTCTGTAATTAAACTAATTGTGGCTCTACCTGCATGGGTCAGAAGTGATTTGTGTGGCTGTTAAAGCACTGACAAATAAAAGGTGGGGAGGTGTGAAAGTATTTCTTATATGCGTTTCCACAGGTAATTTTGCTCTTTCATTTCAGGCAATTTTATGCCCTTGAAATTTTTGGTTTCTGTCAAATTTGAGGAGACTGTTAATATTTCACACTGAAGCAGGGGAAAGCAAAAAGGTCACTGTTGTTAGCAGTTTCAGGCGGCAGCGTTTCAAGTGGAGGTAATACTTTATCAGGACTATTTTCTTATTTGAAGTGAAATTCCTCAAAAAAAGGAGGGGAAGGACTGTTTTCCATAATGTCTTTCATCCTGACTCTGCACCTGCTGGGGACCATGCAATTGTTTTTATTTACTTGAGCAGCAGAAGACCAGGCCTTCTGCACGACTCAGTGAAACTCGGGGCACTACTTTACTGCCAGGGATTTATGACCCTGGCTTTTAGTGATTGTTTTGAATGTCTTTGGCTTCAGAATATGATGTATTTAGAAGAAGCTGAATGAGAAACCTGCTATAGTGTCATGTTTAAACTCTTTGACCTTGTTTTCAAGTCCTTGAGAAGCAGAGCCCACCTCCAGCTTGTAGCCCTACTCTTATTGATTATAATTTTGAGTCTTTCAGGCGTTTTGCTGTGCCCAAAGCACCGTGTGCTTTTCAGAACAAATAATGTGACATGACAGAGAGCTGCTGAACTGACTCCGCTCTCTCTAGGCTGTCAGCACAGGGCAGAGCCCTGCGCTGACGCTGGAGGAGACCCATGTGGATTAAGTGGAGGGGCTGGTGCATTTTGTCCCAGTAGGACCACTTGTCCAGCGTGTGAGCTGATGTCTAAACACAGGAGTCAAACACTTAGCCTGGAGCAACCGTCGCCTGTATTTTTCCTGGTCAGAGCTGTGTGTCCAGAGAAGGACATGGCGCGGCCTGGCTGCAGGACATGAGTGAGCCCTTCTGGCCTAATCGTCCATCACTGTAGGAGACAGGACAGTAGGTGGGATGAACCTTCAGTGGGTTCTCTGGACTGTTTTTCTATTTCTTGACTGTGGAGAAATCTCTATAAATCTAGTTTATTCTTTCTGAGCTGGAGATGAAGGACCTCGCTTTTCAGGTAAGAAGAAACTGCCAGTATGGTCTGCTGTTTCTCTATCACCCTACCCCAAGTATGTGAAATACGAGGTGTGATCATCTAGCTGCAGTATCGCTCCAGAACTGTGGCAGCAAGAACAGGGGAAAGAGCACAGGGAGAGCAGTATATATACATACTTTGTTAAGATAGCAGCTTATCCACTGTTTTTTGTCTCAGAAAAAAAAGTGAGTCAAAAAAGGCTTCTGCTGAGCCTAATTTGTTATGTCTCCAGGCATAGCTAATTATCCTGACTTAGCCCAGCTCTGAATTTTTCCCAGGGGTTTTGGTGCTATTTCTTATGTTTTGATTTATAAATCGTCTTTATTTTACTTTCCTCCTACACGTTCTGTATAACCTTTTCGCTCCCTGCCTTACTGAGAAGCCAGGAGCTGGTGTGGCAGTGCTATCACAAGGTGTAGGACAGAAAGGGGATCCGTTAACCAAAGCCTTTGCCTTAGGTGTCCAGCAATGCTTTCTTCTGGCGTCTGCCTCATGGGCTATGTGAAACGGTCTCTTCTCCCCAGAAGGCTTTTTTGTGCCGCCACTTACTTCTGGGCTTACCTGCAACCATCCTTGGGCTAGAGGAGTTGTGAGGGTCAGGGCTGGCTCCATGGCTCAGAGGGCTTTGGTTACAGCCTTCACCCCGCAGCAAGGAGTTTTCTGGCTTCTCCACTGACGTACCAGAATGAATTACAGTTATTTTCTGGTTCAACCATTCCCTTCACAGTTGACACAGTTTTTCTAACCTCAGCAACAAATTCTGTGGGGGAAGGAAATCCATCTGCTGTAATCATGGGGTGTCAACTGTAGTAAGCAGGAGCCGATACTGCAGTTAAGCCTGGGCTTGGGAGACCATCTCTGTTCAGGACGCTTTAGAAACGTTAGCTAATGAGTCCCCCAAGCATCCCATGGGGCAAATGGGTACTGTTTGCTTAGGAGACAAGACTGCCAAGAGTAAGCAGCTCAAGCAAGGCCAGCCTTAACTGTTAGAGCATGCCAGCATGCCACCTCTTCTAGGAAGAAGTGCATTGCTTTGTTTCTTGACATACCCACTCAGGGGTTTTTCGTTTTTGGGGGTTTTTTTTGTTTTTTGGGCTTTTTTTGTGTGTGTGCATCTGGGAAGGTTTTTGTCAACAGACTTCTCTGTGAGATTGTAGCACTGGTCACCCTTACAGCCCCTGGTGGAGGCTTAAATTCGGCTTTGTGTAAAATGGGCTGAGAATTGGGTGAGAGCCTACGCCATGCCAGTCCCAGACCCTGTCTGGGACCCAGAATCCAGCATCCTGTCTTCTTGGACATGAGGAAAAACTTCTTTCCTGAAAGAGTGGTTAAACAATGGAACAGGCTGCCCAGGGAAGTGGTTGAGTCCCCATCCCTGGAGGTATTTAAAAGACGTGTAGATGAGGCACTTAGGGACATGGTTTAGTGGGCATGGCAGTGTT